GCCCCTACTTTATCACTTTAAACCGGGTGCACACTTGTGATGTCAGCGTTCGGGAGGCTGAGGCTGGAGGATCTGCTGTGAATTCAAGGCCAACCTGAACCACAGAGTGAGACCGTCTCAGAAACAACAAAAAGCAAAGTAAAAGGTCATGCTGAGAGGCCTGTTGTCCGGCTGTGCAGGAAAGCAGGTTCGCGGTGGCCGCTCAGCCCAGGTGCTGTGTGGTTGTGGTTGAAGTTGTGGTCCTGCTCTGGCTCCACACAGGCCACGGTTAGAGGCCTTCTGGACCGCTGCTAAGTGTCCTGGCCTCAGGGGTCCCCAGACTCCACCTTGGCACTGGCATCTAACCTGGCCCTCAACATGAGGTTGTTGAGATCCCGGTCTGAATGTTTGGGAAGGGTCCTCTCCTGAGGGTGTCTGTGCCAGCCCCAGGGAGCGGAAATTTGAGTCTCTCCTGCCTCAGCCTCCCAGAGTGCTGGGATTACGGGCGTGCATGACCGCACCCAGAGCAAGCTGTGAGTTAGGAAGGGCGTCATCACACTGGCCTGTCTGAGGATTGACCCATGCTGTGGAGTTGCACCTCCTTTGAGAACTTTCCCACTGTGCACTTGTCCGGCGGCCCGGTCCTCTGGCTGTGTAGTTCCCTTAGCAGATGGTGTTTTTTAAGAACACAAGCGATCAAAGCCGCTGTGGGGTTACCCTCACCCCGCCCTTTCTGTTTGCTGTCGGCTCGGCCTACAGCTTGGTAGCAAAGGTCCGTTTGTGCTGGGCCCGGCGGAGGCGGATGTTACATTTGAGCAGTCTCTCCTCCCTGCGGCTCCTCCTCCTGGCCGGAGGCTCCGTGCTGGTTCCCGCTGCTCATCACATTCCCGGTTCGGCGTCGCTATGTTCTGCTTTCAGCACTTTCTTTGGGATGACGAGAACCGGTGACCCTGCGTCTTGTGATTCTTGGGACTTGCTCCAGGCCTGTGCTGCGCTCTTAGCTCTGGTCCACAACACTTGTATTAGCTTTGTGTGTGTTTGTGTGTGTGCACGTGCACATGCATGTTTTGAGTCAGGGTCTCTCTATGTAGCCTAGTCTGACCTTGAACTCAGTGATCCTCCTGCCTCAGCCTCCTGAGTGCTGGAAAGATAGTGAACCACCACGCCTGGCTTTAAACACAAGTGTTTGATTTTTGGGGGGAGGGGGAGTCTTTTTGAGACAGTCTCGCTATGCAGTTCAGGCTGGTCTTGAACTCATTTTGTAGCCCAAGCTGGCCTCAAACTGGCAATGATCCTCCTGCCTCAGCCTCCTGAATGCTGTGCAGCACCATGCCAAGCTAAAAGTTTGATTTTGGTGAAACTAGTTGGTCCATTTTTTTCTTTGGTGCCTCAGGCTTTTGATGTCATAGCTGAGAAACCATTTCCTAATTCCAGATGAAGCCATCGCTCAGCGGATTGGTGACTGTGGAAGTTTCTAGAATCTAGCTAGGGCTGACAAGTGTCAAGGTATCAGCAGAAAGGTGGGCAGATGTTTAACGTAACACTTGCAAAGTCGGTGTTTTTCCAAGACTGTCAGTAAGAGTAAGAAATGATCTCTTCAGAGAATTTACCAAGTAAAACGTGCATTCAGTTTCTTAGGAAGCTTTTATCGAGCTATTTTTATTATATTAATATTTGTTAATTTTTATTTTTTGAGGCAGGATCTCACTATGCAGTTCAGGCTGGCCTTGAACTTAGGGGAGCCTCTTGGTTTGAAAGCTTTCAGAAGTACTTTGTGTGCTGGGTCTCAGCCGGCTGCCCGCATACCCGCCTGGGGCAAGTGTGGGAACCGAGAATGGCGGGTCAGGTCATTCTCTTATCCAGGAGACAGCCTGAGTCTAACCTGCAGGTTTAAGCTGTGACTCATGGCGTTTTGTGGGGTTTGTGGGTGTTAAGATCGGCAGCCTGGGGCGCACGCGCAGCTGCTTGTAGGGACAGATCCTTCCTCGGTCAGAGGTCGGGCTTGCGCTCCAGGAGTGCGGTGGCAGAGACCTTTCTGGGCCAGGACGGAAGCAGCCTTGGTGAGGGCTGCTGGCCACAGGCGCCATTCTGATGCCTGCTGGGTGACAGCCACCCTTGCGGGTCTCTCATCTGTGTCCTCCTGAGGCAGTCTCCTATGTAGCCCATGCTGGTCTCCAACTTGCTGTGATGCTCCTGCCTCAGCCTCCCATGTGCCGGACCTGTGGGAGGCGTGTGGAGGTGGTGGGAGGACGGGGCATGGAGCCCAGGACTGTGGCCACGAGCCACTCCTTTTGGGTTTCTGGGTGTTGGATTCACTCAGCCCCTGGCCTGAGCAGGGTCCCCGATACTGCAGGGCTGATGATGCCCAGCGCGCCTGACCCCGCACACAGCTGTGTGTCCCTGAGTCCGAGTCCAGAGCGGCCCCAAACCAGGGTTCGGCTCCTGGAGGGCTCAGGTGCCGCTGACGACTCAGATTGGTGAGTGCGGAGTGAGCTCAGGTGCGTAAACCATGAGGACAGGTGTGGCCTGGGGACCGCCACACACAACTTTCCCAGCAGCCTTTGCTGCCTTATGCCTGCCTTACAGGCGGGGAAGCTGAGGCAGACACAAAGCCTGCACTGCCAGGACACTCTCAGGTGCCTCTGGGCTTCGAGCCGAGGGCCTCACACCGAGCTGTGTCCCCAGCCCCACTTTATATTTGTATTTTGAGATAGGGTCTCGATACGTTGCCCAGGTTGGGCTTGGACTTGGGATCCTTCTGCCTCAGCCTTCAGAGCCCTGGGGTGAGAGGCTTGTACCCCACGCCCAGCCAATCTGTCTGTCCTTGGCCATTGCTGGATGGGGTTTTCTTCTTGGCAGTGAAAGCTGGCGCAGGGAGGTGCTGACAGCTGTCGTCTTGGTGTGGGACAGCGCGGGGCTGTGCAGGAGCTGACAGGCAGACCTCAGACACCCGCAGTGACCACCAGGCATCAGGATTTGCTCCCTGGTCTCACGCTAAAGGACTTGCACAGTTGCTTTTTAACCAGAGCTTTTCAAAGCTTGTTTTCTTACTAGAAGAGATTTGTCAGAGTGTTAGCAAGGATAAACAGTTTATAGAATGAAATTTTTCTTGGGAAAAATATCTTCCAAGTAACTGCTTCAGGGCCAGCACACCCCGAGGGTGAGGAGAGAGGACCTGGTTTGCAGTCAAAACCGTTAGTGGGGGCGGATCAGGCCTGCTGGGATCAGGCCTGTGTTTGTGTGTGTGTGTGCATGCACGTGGGTGCGCCTTACTGAGGATTGAACCCAGGGAGAGGGGAGCGACCTACCAATCTTTATTTTTTAATTTTGAGACATGGTTTTGCTAAGCTGCCCAGGCTGGGCTCAGACTTGTGATCCTCCTGCCTCAGCCTCGGTTGCTCAGCTGGGACTGTGCCACACTCCTGGCTGAAATGGGCAGAATCTTTCAACAGGAAATGAAATTAAACCTTCCTTACTTTTATTTGGGTCATGCCAGGAGAAGGTAGCGGAGCACTCTTGTATCGTGACTTTGTTCTGAAGGTAGGGCTGGTTCTCAGGGTGCGGTGGCACTCTGGGAGGCTGAGGCAGGAGAGCCATAAGTTCAAGCCCAGCCCGGGGAACTTGGTGACTTGGTGAGACCCTGCCGTGGTGAAAAACTACAGGAGTGTGAGGCGCCCAGTGGGTGGCCCTGCGTTCCCTCTCCAGCGCCCCCGGAGGAGAGGCAGGCCACACTGCCAGGGCAGACGATTCCCCGGGCCCAGTTCCTTGTCCAAGTGGGCACCGCGGCTGTCCTGTAAGGGCTCTGGACAGACACTGGGATTCTCACTGCAGGGCCTGTGAGTGGCCCCCCACGGTACCCGCGTGAAATGGAGCTGACCATGGAGTCCTTGCTGCGGAAGATACAGTTGGTGTGAATTTTTGCTTTTTTTTAAGTTACTTAATTATTTTGGTTTTTTGAGACAAGGTCTCGCTATGTAACCCAGGTGGCCTTGGAGATCCTCCTGCCTCAGCCTCCCAAGTGCTGGGGTGACAGCCCTGTGCCAGTGCACCTGGCCTGAGCCAGTCTTAGAGTAACCTGCAGTGTGGCGTGGGCCCCCACCCTCTGGTGGTGGCTGCGTTCCATGTCCCCTGTGACGGTGGGGCAGCCAGCCTTCACAGGCAGTGGTGTGATGCCTCCCCTGGGAAGCAGGAGTTGGGGAGATGCTACTGCCCATGGTGGTCCTCAGCCTGGGCCCTCCGAGAACTGTCAGCTTTGCACCATCGGAAACCCGCACTTCAGCAGGTGGTCTCACACTTTGAAAATTCACACTGCTTGATCTGGGTGGAAATTGAAAATGCGTTTCTCAAGGTTAAAGTTGATTCTACCGATTAGGATTTGTATTTTCTCCCATTCTGTGGGAAAATAGAAAGTAGGAACGCTGCTGGGTTTTAACGTCGGCTTTGTATGTGCTCCTGTGCGGAGCTGCCTTATCAGCTCTGGTCTTTCCGTGTGAGGTCTTTAGGGTCTTCTAAGTGTAAGCTTGTGTTACTTGCAGAAAGGATGATTTGACTTCTTCCCATTTGTGTGTGTGTGTGTGTGTGTGTGTGTGTGTGAGAGAGAGAGAGAGAGAGAGACAGGGTCTCGCTGTGTAGTCCAGGCTGGTCTTGAGCTCACTTTTAGCCCAGGCTGGTCTCGAACTCACAGCCATCCTCCTGCCTCAGCCTTTTGATTGCTCCTTTTGTTGTTTTTTTTTTTTTTTTTTTTTTTTAAGCTTTTTGGGACAGGGTCTTGTTGCATGGTCCAGGCTGGCCTTTTTCCCGTTTCTGTGTTTGGCTGTGTGCGTGTTTTCCGTCTCTTGCCGTAGTTCTCAGGCAGCAGATGGCTGAACAGGCAGCGCGGCGCCATTGTTGAAGCTGGCGTTTCAGACCCTCTGCCGGCGTCTCCGTCCCGGGGGCGAGGAGAAGGCGCGGCGCGCGTGAACAGGCGAGCCCCCCGCCGCTGCCGTGGAGGCCGCTTCAGCGTCCCTCTCCTGTCTCTGCAGAGGTTGGTGACGCGGCCAGGCAGTACCTGGAGAAGGGCCTGCTGGTGCCTGACCACGTGATCACGCGGCTCGTGCTGTCCGAGCTGGAGCTCAGGAGAGGCCAGCCCTGGCTGCTGGATGGTGAGTGATGGTAACCGGGCGCTGGAGGAGCCGGCGGGCCGCGGTTTTTCACCACGTAGAATCAGAGAAACTGGGAACACTCAGGGGTCGTGTGGGACGCAAGGTTGGCTGTGTGAGCGGCAGCCCTGGGGGCCGCTGAGCCCTGCGTGCACCCTTGGCCCTGCAGTTCGGGGCTGTGGGCTGCCTCCAGGTGCTTCCAGATGTTCATCGCAGCAGCACGGGCCCCCTCCACGGGAGCTTCTAGCTCACGAGAAGCCGGCTGTGTGAAGGAGGCAGAACACCTTGTGCCAAGGCCCGAGGAGAGGGACTCGGTGTGTCCTGCGGGTGGGGAGGGCCTGGGCAGCAGCACAGGGAGAGTGACGGCCGGAGGGATGGAAAGGTGGAAGGCTGGGTGGAAGGGAAGGACAGAGGAACGGACAGAGGGCTGACTGGCTGGCAAGGTGGATGGACGGGAGGCTGGGTGGCTGGTTGGGTATGTGGGTGGGTGGATGGACGGATGGATGGATGGATGGATGGACGGATGGGAGGATGGACGGGTGGGAGGATGGATGCATGGACAGGCAGGTGGCTGCATGGCTGATTGGCTGGCTGGATGCCTGGATATATGGATGGAAGATGGGTAGATGGACGGATAGACGGATGGATGGATGGATGGATGGATGGATGGATGGATGGATGGACAGATGGGAGGGTGGATGGATGGACAGATGGATGGGTAGGTGGATGGATGGGTGGACAGACAGGAGGATAGATGGATGGGTGGGAGGATGGCTGGATGGGAGGTTGGATATCCTGGTTGCCTAGATATGTGGATGGAAGATGGGTGGATGGAAGATGGGTGGGTGGATGGATGGGTAGATGGATGAATGGGTGGGTGGATGGGTAGGATGATGGATGGATGGGTAGGAGGATGATGGATGGATGGGTAGGAGGATGGATGGATGGATGGGTAGGAGGATGGTTAGATGGATGGATGGATGGATGGGTAGGATGGATGGATGGGTGGGTGCGTGGGTGGGAGGGTGGATGGTCCCCTGCTCCCGTCCCCTGCTTCCTGTCCCCGTCCTTGCAGTCCTGCTCCATTACAGCCGTTTCTGCAGTGCTCTGTGGGCTCCGGCGCCCTCCTGCGTGTCCTTCTCCTGAAAAGCCATCTGGTCCCTGGCTGTCCATCTGGCAGGGTGCAGACGCTGTCCCTGAGCTCCACACCAAGCCTTCTGTCCTGGGCACTGAGCCCAGTGTGGGGCCGGGTCGGGGCGCTGGTGACAGGTGACACCGCTGGGGCCCCACGTGGCTGTGTGGAGGTGGCCACGGGGGTGGAGGGCCCAGGAGGGGTGGTGTGGCTCTGTCCTCACTGAAAGGGCAGCAGTGTGTGTGTGTGTGTGTGTGTGCAGGAAGAGGGAGAGGGGCTTTCTCTTTTTCTTTTTTTTTTTGAGACAGTTACTTGTAGTCCAGGCTGTTCTCAAACTCAGAGCTATCCTCCTGCCTCAGCCTTCCCAGAACCCGAGGCACAGGTGTGCGTGTCCACACCTGGCCAAAGTTAAACGATGGAGTATTGTTTAAGCCTCCCATTCAGAGACAAGGTAGTTGGGAGCAACCGTCCTCCTGGGTCTGTTGCTGCAGCCCGCAGGCTCGGAGTGAGCAGGGTCGGTCGGGCTCACCGGCTTTCTGCAGGCAGCTCGTTTTCCTTGGCCCCAACCGTGAGCATGCGCACGCGCAGGCGCAGTGCGTGCTCTCCTGGGCGTCTGGGACCCGGGTCCGCAGGGATGCTGGGGGGTGGTTCAGGAGGTGCTAGGTGCGCTTGTCCAGGCCGATGGCCCTCGGCTGCCCGCCCGAGCTCTGCATGTTCGTCCCTCTAAGTGGATGTCTTGAGCGTCGCCCATGGGACCAACATGGGTCTCCCGGGAACCCACACCGTGTTATCCATTGCATCTTGTAGGAAATGCTGAGGGCGGTATTTTTCTGTTGCCCTCGCAAGTGTCGGGTATGTTTCAAGAATAAACTGGATGGGCAGGCAGGATGGTGCACATAATTCCGGCATTCGGAAGGCTGAGGCAGGAGGATCACTGTGAGTTCAAGGCCAGCCTGAACTTCAGAGCAGGGCATATGTGGGAGGAACCTCTGCCTTCAGACTGTTTGGCTGTTGGGATGCACAGGGTGCCGGTGCCCGTGGGGGTGGGGATGGGTGAGGGGGCAGCAGGGTTGGGGTGGGGAGGGAGTGCCTTGGTGTGGACGGTGTGAGGTGGGTGTTTATTTGCCGTATTGAGTGTTTAACCGAGGGCCTCCGAGCTGAGCTACATCTCCAGCCTTTTAAAATTATTTTGTTTTGAGACAGTCTCACTAAATTGCTCAGAGTGGGTTTGAATTTGGGATCCTCCTGCCTCAGCCTTCCAGAGTGCTGGGATTACAGGCGAGCGCTACCACGCCTACCGCTGCTCTGTGTCTCTGATGGGGAGCCACAGAGCCGTCCCTATGCGCAGCTGCGGGGAGGAGGAAGCTTTCGCCTTTAACGCGACCGCGACCGACCGTTGTGCAGGAGCCGCCCCAGCTCCTCTTGCTATGCAGCGGCCAGGACTCTGCCTGCTTGGAGGATCCAAGATTGCCTTCGTGACAGCGAGGGCTGAACGCTGCCACCTGCTGGCCGCGCGCAGAAGTGCGGGCGCGAGGCCCAAACCGCGCCCACGGGCGTCCTGGGTCTGGTGCCGCACCCTTGTCATGGGGGCTGCGGGCCGCGCGTTGGGGAGGCGGTGTGGACACAGCTGGCGGCCGGAGAGGTCAGCCGCGTCTGCCTGGTCCCTGCCCGCATGTGTGTGCGTGCTTTTGTGTGTGTGTGTGCGTGCGCGCGTGTGTGTCCGTATGTGTGTGCCCGGATAACTGTTCAGAGATACCTAGGTTGGTGTCTTGGTTTCTACTTTGTGTGGCTCTCAGGATCAAACCCAGGGCCCTGCACACACTAGGTGAGTGATCTATCAGAGCTACACCCGCAACCTGAAAAACACCGACGTGCTGGGCTCTGGTCAGCCACGTCCCGGCCCTTTCATCTGTCAAGAAGTATTTTCTTTGGAGATGTACTGAATTATTACATTGCCCAGTCTGGGCTTGTGCTTGGGATCCTCCTGCCTCAGCCTCCCAGAGTTCTAGAACAGGGGGCGGCTGGAAACCCGGGCCTGTCACAGGTCCACCCCTGAGGTTCTGTGTGACCTGTGGGACTTCACCTCCCCACCAGTGTATGGAGCCGTCTGGGGGCGGATTATCTCAAAAAGGAGAAGCCGGAGGTGGGCGATTCTTAGTGCGGAGCCCTCCCTGCTTACCCGTGCGAGTCGTTCACCCTGGAGCTTCCCAGAGGCAGACGCGGGTAGAATAGCGCATTTCCTTCCAGCACTGCCGCGTCAGGGCTGGGTAGGGACCTCGGTTAGGGCTCCTTTGTGGGTTACTTGGCTGTGATTCCTCTGTCCTGACTGCGTTCCTGGCTCCCAGGGCAGCGTGTTGGCCTGACGCTGTCTGTGCTTCTGCCCAGGTTTCCCCCGGACCATCGGGCAGGCCGAAGCCCTGGACAAGGTCTGCGACCTGGACCTGGTGATCAGCCTCAACATCCCCTTCGAGACCCTGAAGGAGCGGCTCAGCCGGCGCTGGCTTCACCCGCCCAGCGGCCGCGTCTACAACCTGGACTTCAACCCACCGCTCGTCCCGGTGAGACCCGCAGAGCGCTGTCTGTGGCCAGCTCGGGGCAGGGCGGGCAGCGGGCAGTGGGCAGGAATCAGCTGCCCGAAGCAGCAGGGAGTCCGCATGCAGGAGTGGTGGAAGGGAAGGTGCAGAGAGAGCAGGCCTTAGGCAGGGTCGCTGGACTGGACACACTTTCAAAAACAGAACATTGACTGCTGATGGGGACCCAGGAAAAGTGGGGCTAAGCCAGGCGTGATGGCACACACCTGTGATCTCAGTCCTGGGGAGGCTGAGGCAGGAGGATCCCTGGGAGTTCCAGGCTAGCCTGGGCTACATGCCAGACCCTGTCTCCAAAATGAAACAAAAACACTAATTTGGTAATTCTTTTCCTGGGCTCCTCATTCCTTTCTTCCTTCACATATTCTGGAGTGGGGGTCTCTGCACACAGACACAGCTGCAAAACACAAGTCCTGGTGACGTTTCAAGCCCAGGGCCCGTGGGTGAGGGCCAGGGCACACACACGTGCTTCAGATTTGTGGCCGCGCTCTGGTGACCCCTGTGGGCGAGCTGCCTCGGGCGGCTTCTGCCGTGTCCACGCTGCGTGTGGAAGTCGGGGCGCTCTTGGGGCCCCGGCCTGCAGAAAGCCAGGCTGTTGCAACACAGGGTTAGGGTTTGTCAGCGCTCAGGGTTTGTCCCCGTGGCCGCGGCCCGCTTCCGTGCGCCCGCAGAGTGGCATTTAATCTGGCAGAAGAACCAGAGAATTTCAGAAGCTGCGTGGTGGTTCGAAGCTGCTGGAGGTGGTACTAAGTGTTTTCTCCCACGTTAGTAATTTTCCTTACGGAAACATTCTTTAAGCGTAGTTCCTTATTTTCCGAATGAAGAGCTCAAGTTTTATTTATTTATTTGTAATTGCTGTTGTCCTTTGGAAGCAGAGTCTCGCTGTGCAGTTCAGGCTGAACTCACGGTGTGGCCCAGGCTGGCCTAGACGCTCAGCGGCAGGGCCGTCCTGGAGCTGTGCAGGGAAGGCTGGGCTCAGGCCTTGGGCGGGGGGCTGGCCCCAGTGAGACCCACGCCTCCCACTCTCTTCAGGGCGTGGACGACGTCACCGGTGAGCCGCTGGTCCAGCAGGAGGATGACAGACCTGAGGCGGTGGCCGCCCAGCTGCGGCGGTACAAGGACGCGGCAAAGCCGGTCATCGAGCTGTACCGGTGAGCAGGGCCGGAGGGGAGAGGGTGCGGGTTATTGGGGGTGGGGCTCACCACGCTTGGAGGGCTCTGGGCCGCGCTCCCCAAGTGTGACTCAGTGCTGGGCATCCCAGGGGGGAGGGTAGAACCTGAAGCCCCCAGCCCTAAGGCTCTGTCCGCTCAGAAGGGAAAATTGCACCTAGAGTTCTCCCCCCTCCCCCTCCTTCCCCCTCTTCTCCCTCCCCCCTCCTGTCCTCCCCCTGCCCCTCCCTCTGCCCCTGCCCCTCCCCTCCCTCCTCCTTCCCCCTCTTCCACCTCCCACCTCTCCTCTCCTCCCCCTCCCCTCTCTCCCTCGCTCTTCCTTTCACGGTGCTAGGGTCGGAACCCAGGAGCGCTCTGGTGGGAGACGTGCGGGGGCGGGGCCCGCGTTTGAGCGCGGCACACGGGTGGGGGCACCTGGGTGCCTGTGGGGGCGGCAGGTACACAGCTCTCCAGTCAGTGGCCAGCGGGCAGAGGCGCCTGTTCTCCAGGACGGACGGGGTCTGACTTTCTCTGTGGGAACCGGCCCCCCAGGGTGTATGCTGCCAGTCAGACTCCCTAAGCAGCATGCGAGGGCACAGACCCATGGCCCCTGCCTGGCGGCGCTGGGGAAGGAGGCCGCCTCGGGCCACACCGCCTTCTGGCCTTGTGGCCCCCAAATTCCAGACTGTTTGCTGAGCTCCCCAGAGATCCGTGTCCCTCCCCAGGTCACTGTGTGTGTGTGTGTGTGTGTGTGTGTGTGTAAGTGCGTGTGCATGAGCGAGTGTGACCGCAGCTCAAGGTGATGTCTGGGGATGGTGTTTTGATTTTTTTTTGTTTTGTTTTGTTTTGTTTTCCGGTACCAGAAATCGAACTCACGACCTTGTGCTTGCAAGCCCTTTTCCCGGGGCACCTGAGCAGGGACACTGGCCGGACAGCCAGCCTTACCAGGGGCGCAGGCGGCATCTCGCGCAGCCCCGCACTGCTGAGCTAAATCCCCAGCCCCTTTTTTTTTTGTCTTTTTGAGACAGGGTCTCGCTATGCAGTTCAGAATGGCCTTGAACTCACTTATGTATCCCCAGGCTGGCCTTCAACTTGCAATGATCCTCCTGCCTCAGCCTCCTGAGTGCTGACGTGTGCCACCACGCCCGGCTGGGTTTTGTTTTTTTTCGGGGGGCGGGGGGAGGTGCGGTGTTTTGAGGCGAATGTGGGTCCCCTGTCACATGGGCGCACAGGCCGCCTGGCGGAATCACGGGAGGCGGGACCCCATCCTCTGTGCTCGGGGGTCGTGGGGGGACGCCGTGAGGTGTCGGCAGCCAGGAACCGAGTCTGGCCTGGTCCCCGCCCTGGCGGAGGAGCCTGTGACACCGTGTCTGTCGGACTTCCTTGCAGGAGCCGGGGTGTGCTGCACCAGTTCTCGGGGACGGAGACCAACAAGATCTGGCCATACGTGCACGCGCTCTTCTCCAGCAAGCTCGCGCCTCTCCAGTCCAAAGAAGCCAACTGAGGCCCCCGGTGGCGGCGGCTGGTCGTTTGGCGCCCTCCCGGGCCACGCTGGTGGCCGGCCAGGAGCTCGCGGCATCTTCTCTAGGGAAGCGTGCCCCGAAGGGAGGACTGGCGCGTGCGGGGCTGCGTGAGAGCCCTCCTGGCCGTGCCCCGTCCCGCTGTCCGCCTGCGCCACCGCTGAGGCTGGCTGTCCGGCCGGGGTCCCTGCTCAGATGCCCCGGGGCGAGGGCTTGGCCTCCGCCGGGTGAAGTCTGACATCTGTGCCCCTTCCTGCCGGGCGGGCTGCGGGCTGTGACCCAGAGTGGGGACCCGGCTCTCGCAGCCCCAGCTGAGCCCGCAGCGCCTTCGTCTCCACCGCGGCTGCCTCTGCCTCGCTCTCTTCCTTTTCCTGTGAAAAATGAGACCCCCAGAGTCCGAGAATTTTCAGAAACGTGGAGAAGCGTCCAGAAGGGCTGCAGGATCGCCCTGTGTGTGGAGAGGAACCGGTCCCGCAGAATGGCTGGGAGAATAGAAGAGTGGGTTGCAGGGGACAGCAAATCGTGTCCCAGCCGCGCTGCGCGATGCCAGCCCCGCCTCCCGTGACTGACGCCACGTGCCCGGGGGCGGAGCCTGCGGGGGAGGGGATGTCACACTGGCGCCGACGCCCTTGCCATTGTGGGAGACGATCTCTTCCTGTTTCCCTCTATTCCAAAGACTTGGTCTGTGGGTGGCCACGAGGTCCAGAAATACAGATTCTAGCGTCTTGCTGTCAGCCAGCTCTTTGCTGAGACTTCCTATTCCCCTCGGCAGCCGCCTTGACCGTCCTGCTGTCCTCCGGGGAGAACAGACGTCACCCCTGCTGCCTTAAGAGTGCGTGCGGCCCGCCCACCCGGGCATGTCTGGTGTCCGCCGCTCCCGGGACTGACTTCTGTGTGACCCTTCGTGCCAGCGAGCCAACAAAAGCCTGTTTCGGCCTCCGCTGGCGGAAGGCACGCTCCCTCCTCCGGGTGCCGGGCACGCCCTGCACCCCACCCTGTGCACTCCGAGCTCTCGCGCGAACCCCGTCCCCTCCCCTTGCCGCTTCATGGGGAAGCTCCTCAGCCAAGCCCAGGGATCTGGGGGACGGGTGGACAGCAGCACGGGGGTGCCATGCGGTTCAGCGTTGCCACGGAGACGGCTGTTAAAACCGAGGAGAAGTAGAGCTTCTTGTGGGTCACTCCAAGGGAGCGAGTGTGTTGGACTTCTTGTCACAGAATGATTGCCTTGAGGGTTTGGGGGGCGACGGGACGCAGCTGGATGCCAGGCCGTGCCCTCTGCACCCCTTTCCTCCCACCACGTGATCGGAGCCCCCTGCTGGTCAACTGGGCAGTTCAGCAGTGTCCACTGGGGCTGGGGGCCTCCTTGGTTGAGACCCCGGGCTTTGAATAGTGTGGCCTGCCGGGCATGGTGGTGCATGTCTGTAATCCCAGCACTCGGGAGGCTGAGGCAGGAGGACCATTGTGTGTTCGAGGCCAGCCTGGGCTACAAAGTGAGCTCAAGGCCAGCCTGAAGTGCATAGTGAGACTGTCTCAAAAAGCCAAAAAATAAAAAGAATAGTGTGGCCTAAGAGAAAAAGTATTTCTGGTCAATAAACTCACTAGTATTCTCTTAACATGGACACAATTCACGGAAATGATCTTTTGCCTTTTTTGAGAAGGGTCCCTGTAGTCCAGGCTGGCCTTGAGCTCACTATGGAGCCCAGGCTGGCTTTGAACTCACAGTGATTCTCCTGCCTCTGCCTCCCGAGTGCGCCAGCATACCTGGCCTCGAAATATCTTGACAAAAGTAAACCGAAGGGAGCCGTCCCGCGCCGTCCTGCAGCTCCTCGTGTCTCTGCGGGGACGGCAGCGGGGACGGGCCCAGCACTGCACCTGACCCGCGGTGACAGCGGCGCCTCACCCTGCACCGTTATCCCAGCCGGCCTCCCGCGCAGGCCTTGGGGACGCTCCCTGAGCCCTGACGCCAGGCCGGGTTAGGGGTGCAGCCGCCGCCGGCCTCTGTGCTGCTGAGATGGGACAGTGAGGCGGGAGACACCTGCACCAGCCCAAAATAGGGTTCTTGGGAAACGTCATCTCACCTGACACTGGGTGTCTAACGTTAGCTGTGTGTCTAACAAGCTGAAGCCTGCTGGAGCTTGCTTAAATCAGAAAGGGCCGAGCCTGCCTGGCGTCCTGGGCGGGTCCTCCGAGGCGCTCAGTGTCCGGTGAGGTGGTCAGCAGCTGCCCGCTGCCGTGGACGTGACCCCAGTGATCTCGGCTCCTCGGACTGAGACGGAAATAGCGCTGCTTGTTGCACACTGGCGTCTCGTACGGGGGCGGGGCTCATGAGGTACAAAGCTCCTTGTCTCCCTTTCCCTGGTCGGAGCTGCTGAAGCAGCACCTCCCCTGCCTGGGCTCTCGCCTGCGACCCGGTGCCCGGTGGGGTGGCATGCTGTGTAGACAGCCGGGTGTCCCGCAGGCCCCGCTGGGTGGGCGGGTCTCCGGGGACTGGCGAGTTCCCTTTAGGTCCCTTCTGTGTGGCGCAGCTTTTTGTCTCTGGCAGAGGGGCAGCTCCAACAGGAGAGGAGTTTTCAGAGTCGGAGTTGCTTGCTTCTGGCTTTAGCGGCTTCTCTGTGTCTTGGGGACTTGGAGAAGCAGGGTTGGCCCTGTCTTTAAGGGGAGTGTGATCTGGTCAGAAGTTGGCACCCTGCCTGTGTCACCAACATGGGCTGGTTTCCAGAGCTGGAGTACAAGACCAGATGACCAGGGTCCATGACGCTGTATCTCAGCAGCTTCCTGTACCTGTTGAGACATTAAATCAAAACGGCTCACTGTGCCAGGCCTTATCTCTCTGGTACCAGTTGCACAATTTTTTCCTTTTTTTTTTTTTTGAGACGGAGTCTTGCTTTGTAATTCAGGCTGGCTTTGAACTCACTATGTAGTTCAGACTGGCCTCGAATTTATGGCAGTCCTCCTGCCTCAGCCTTCTGAGTGCTGGGATTATAGGCATGTGCCACCATGCCCAGCCACTGCACAATTCTTGCTGGAATAAATGCCATCATCTGGGGCTGGGGATTTAGCTCAGTGGCACAGTGCCTGCCTCGCAAGTGCAGGGTCGTGAGTTCGATTCCTAGTACCGGAAGAAAAACAAAACAAACAAACAAAAAGCCATCATCTGTATGTCTCGGGGTGTCCCTCAGTTTGGTCACCCTGTGTGTGTGGTGTGCGAGGGACCAGGGACATTTCCAGAGGGCTGACGTCCTTGCATGGCGCAGATGTGCTTGCTGTCCTCCGGGGACAATCAGGTTCTTGAAATAAAAGATTTCCTTTTGGAAGCTCTCAGAGGAGCACCCCAGCTTCAGGTCTCCCTGGCACAAGCCATTTTGCATTTAGAGAAAAGGGAAGAAAAGTTGGTAGCCATCTTCACATAAACTCCAGGGAGTACGGGGGTTCAGAGCACTTTCCAGTTCGGTGAGAATTTGTACTACTGATCTTTATGGATCCTGTGTTCGAGGCGGGCGGGTCCCCGGGGACGTGGCTGAGTTACAGCGGGTTTTGACCGTGACCCGCCCAGCCCGGGCCTTCCTGTGGCCCGGTGACACCGGCCCGGGCCGAGCGTCCTGGAGATGTCGGCTTCCCGGGAGCCCCTGTTTACGACACGCCGGAGCCTCCCCTCCGGGACAGTGGTGGCCTTTGATTCTGTGCAGCCTCTCAGCCTGTCCTCTGCTCTGCGTCCTCACTGTTCCTTGTGTGATTGGTTATTTGGGGATCTGGCTTGAAGGTTGATTCCTACTCTTCAGCTGTTAGAAATAAAGGTTTCTTTGTGCTTGGCATTTGTCCCGGTGCGCACAGTTGGCTGTGAAACGTGAGTCTATGATAGAGCCGTGCACCGCGTCTCCACCATGGACAGCGCTCGCAGCGCGCCAGGAGGAGAGGGACGGACAGGGGCCCTCTGGGTGCGGTGCCCGGTCCCGAACCCGAGGCGGGCCCGCAGCCCCCTCAGTTGCCGCTGCACCGCGAGCTGCACGCATCCCCTCAGTCCCTGCGCGTCCGGTCCGTGGCCCCCCCATCTACAGGTGTGAGTTGATAGCCTTTTGAGGCGGCGTCTCCCTGGAGCTCAGGCGGCGGGGCTGGCGGACACACTGTGTGCCCGACAGCGAGGACGGGCATCCTCGGGCCACTGGGACTCCGGGGCATCTGCAGCCATCACCGGGGGGTCCTGAGCCGCAGGGTTCCCGGGGCCGGCGGTGCTGGGCGCTCTGGCTCGGTCACAGCGAGCCCCGGTCTCTGGGGAGGAGGCGGAGTGCCCAGCGCGTGCCCTGGACGGCTCGGGGCGGACCCGGGGCTGGATTCATCCGCGCCGAGGCCTGGCCCTGAGGAGCGAGGAGGAGACGCCGCCAGGGCCGACGACGCTGGGAAGAACCTGCAGGAGTGGGGTGCCTTCCTCAGGGCAGCGTGTGTGTGCCAGTGGGCAGTGGTGTGCCCAGCGATGGGCGCGTGTGCCTGGCGGAGTGAGTGCGTGTGCCGGGTGGGGGAGTGCGTGTGCCCGGTGGAGTGTGTGCGTGTGCCTGGCGGGGTGAGTGCTTGTGCCCGGTGATGTGAGTGCGCCCGGCAGTGTGGGTGCGTGTGCCCGGCGGGGTGCGTACGTGTGCCTGGTGGAGTGTGTGTGTGTGCCCGGCTGGGTGGGTGCGTGTGCCCGGCGGGGTGAGTGCGTGTGCCCGGTGGAGTGTGTGCGTGTGCCTGGCGGGGTGAGTGCTTGTGCCCGGTGATGTGAGTGCGCCCGGCAGTGTGGATGCGTGTGCCCGGCGGGGTGGGTGCGTGTGCCCGGCGGGGGAGTGCGTGCTCCACCGCGGCCCCCGGACTCCGTCTTTTGAACTGAACACCGCGGCGGGAGCGGCGGCCCGCGCACACTGGCTTGCGGTTCCGGGCGGGGCGGGAGCGCTGTCTCGGGGAGGCGGCGGGGAACCCCAGCCTCGGCCGTGAGAACAGCAACGCAGGCGGACGCGGGAACCCGCAAACCGGCGGGTCCGTCTTCCTCCGTCCTGCGGAAGGGTGGCCTCAAGGGCGAGGTGGAGCCACGGCCCTGCTGGAGCGCGCCCCG